TTTTCAAGCAATTTCAATTTCAATTTGACTGTTGAAAAGAAGTGCGCCGATTAGATACTCAGGATCGGTATCGGCTCTGACACTGCCATCTTTGACGAGGCTGATTCAAATTCTATATTGTGCATATACTATTCTATGTTAGGCACAAAGGCACAAAAACTTTCTAAAGTACCCATAAAGTTTTTGTGTACTGTATTATTAGTGTTCTGAAAGCTATGTGATATAGAAATTAATATTTAAGTCATTAAATTCAAGAACACAAACTTTTCCCTCTCTGCGCCTGTCAGTCATTCTCCATTCAGCATTCAAACAGCACGTCACATTCGGTTACAGTCAATGATGAAACGATCTTCAAGATGATTGAATGTTAATCCTATTATACTGGATCTTTAAGATAAAGGTCTAAAGGTCTATATTTTCGAATGAAGAAACTTTTTCTTGCTGGACTTTATTGCTGTAACTTAATCGTATTACTTTCTACCGGGTGTCGGACGCTGTCGGTTAGATCACAACACTAGAGTCAGAGCACTATAATTGTTCTTCACGCACACAGTAACTGAAATTTAAAACCTTTAAAAGAAAAGGCTCAATAAACTATTGCATAGATAGATAATGTATAATACACTGTTCATAAATATGTATTTCCTTTGTGCTTTGAACTTTTCAATACGGACTCACTGCGCTGTAACTTCATGTGGCTTCAAGCACATCATTCTCCGCTCGGGATGCACATAAGTGCTTTGTGCTGCACCGTATTGGAGCCGTAATATCATAATGCAGTGACGTAATGACAGATTATTAATTGCCTTTCAATTATATGTTGCTGCGTCATTAAACATCTGTCCTATGCATTTCAAACATGTATAGCAGCCATGGCTATATGTTTTTATGATTTTTGTTATCTTGTTTTTCATGAATGTATTTTTCAAAAATAAGAGCAATGTGTATTATCTATTATTAATATGGTTTATAATAGCATTTTTGTCATAGATTATGACAAAGTAATCATATGATCCACCAGCGAGGAACCAGCAGAACAGAGTGAACATTCTTTCTGTTTAGTTCAATCCTACTTAATAGGAATTTATTTAAAATGCTCGCTCTACTCCACACCATTAATGTCTTGTGCGGACATCCGTATTTCGACTTTCGGTTGTAAGTAAGCGATTTAAAAGCTCCCAAGTCCCAGCGGAGTCACACGTTGATTAACCGGTGGGAATATACACAATAGGCCTACCTGATATTGAACACAAGAGGGCAGTATAGCACTACGTATGACTCAGATTATTATTTTTTTATGAATTTTACTACAATTCTGGCTGTTTTTGAATGTAAACATAATTCTTAAATGAAAAAAAGGAAAAATTGGGGAAGTTATAATATTTGTATAATTTAATTTAGAAACAAATGATGTATAATTACATTTTTAGAAGATATGAGGCTTTTAGTGTTTACTTTTTTGACATTACTTTAATATTTTGCCATAGTTGCACATGTCTACTGGCTAATAAATGTGATGTATCTGTTGAGTTTCAAGCAATTTCAAGCATGCTAAGAGTCCCAAAAGCATCAAAAAAGAATGTTAAAGTTTGATTCGTTGCCACGGCAACAGTATCAAAGATATCAAAAATTCTTTCACAGGTCTGCATCTGCCGTGTATTTACATTATACAGATGAAGTTTGAAGCAAATCGGTTAAAAATAAGAGAGTGGTTTCAAAGCATTTTGAAAGTGACACACTTCCTGCTGCCAGTTGGTGGCGCTATAACTTTGACTCACAATAGTCACATCCATGTGATCGGTCTCTTACAGCGAAAACACTGCTGAAGTTTCATCAAGATCAGTTAATGTATGCTGAAGTTATAACACACATCCTGTTTCATGTTTCTCGCCATAATTTCGTTTCCTCGCCACGGCCAAACCGTTCGAGATATAAAAAATCCATTGGCACCTTTTCATCCTTAATGTCTTGACTTCACGCTGATCGAGTTTTGTCGAATTTGGTTCAGTGCTCTAGGAGCAATACTTGAAATTCCATTGCATGTGTTTTAAACACAACCCTAAATAGCCGTCTTCCTGTTGGGCTGGGGTAAAAAGTAAGAGTGTGAAGTAGGCTATATATGAAACGATGAGATCTATATGTGTACCGAGTTTCATATTATTACATGCAAGTGTGTTTGATTTATGGACCAAATTTTCAGACCAAGTTTATTGACCAAGTTAATCTGATTAATAAACTAATTATATAAAACTATTGTCAATGCACTACAATTAAACTAGTTATATGCCTTTACTTATAAAAAATAAAAATAAAAACTTATTTAAAAAATACCAGGCTTGAGAAATGTATTTTCTTTATGCAGGTCATACACACAGCAGTGAAATGGTTAAGCCCCCTCCCCCTGCACACTCACACACACACACAGACAGCCAAAGACAGAGACACAGAGACATATAGGCTCAGAGTGACCATATTCAAACAAAAATATCTGAGTTTCTGTGGGTCCTAGCTAATAAGTGTAAATTAGAAAGTTGTCCGGCTCGAGGAGTACAATATACATACCAATTTTTGTAACTCTAGTTAAAACTAACAACCCCACTTTTGTCAAAAGGTGGCGCTACTGAGCCCTCACCACGCCCGTTTCTGAAACTTTTCACATGTCTACTGGCTAATAAATGTGATGTGTCTGTCGAGTTTCATGCATTTTGAAGCATGCTAAGGGTCTCAAAAGCATCCTAAAAGCATCCTAAAAGAAGGGTAAAGTTTGATGCGTCGCCACGGCAACAGTTTCAAAGATATCAAGAATCCATTCACAGGTCTACATCTGCCGTATGTTTACATTATACATATGAAGTTTGAAGCAAATCGGGTAAAAATAAAAGGGTGATATCAAAGCATTTTGAAAGTGACACACTTCCTGCTGCCAGTTGGTGGCGCTATAACTTTGACTCACAATAGTCAAATCCATGTGATCGTCCTCTTACAGCAAACACACTGCTGAAGTTTCATCAAGATCAGTTAATGTATGCTGAGGTTATAACACACTTCCTGTTTCACGTTTCTCGCCATGATTTCGTTTCCTCGCCACGGACAAACCGTTCGAGATATCAAAAATCCCCTCGCAAACTTTCATCCTCAATGTCTTGACTTCATGCTGACCGAGTTTCGTCGAATGTGGATCAAAGCTCTAGGAGGAGTATTTCAAATACCATTGCGAGCGTTTTACAAACAAACCTCAATAGCCGACTTCCTGTTGGGCTGGGGTAAAAAGTAAGAGCGCGAGGTATAGATGAAACGATGAGATCAACATTGTACCGAGTTTCATATTATTACATGCAAGCGTGTTTGAGTTATGGACGAAGTGTTTGGACCCCGTTCCAGGGGGCGCTGACGAGCCCCCTGCCACGCCCGGGTACCAGCTTCAGCCCGGCTCTGATGGCCGCGGGTTCTGACCCGTGTGCAAAGTTTCAAGAGTTTTCGAGCACGTTAAGGGCCCAAAAGTGCCCAAAAGGTAGTAAAATAAAAATAATAAATAAATAAATATAGCTGCGAGCAGCGATGGCGGGCCCAAGCCGGTGGCACCGCAACCCCGGTTCCTTTAGTTACCTAAAGGCACCCGGGTAGCGGTGCCGAAGGCTTTGGCCCTTTTATGATTAAATGTTAAAACGGCTTGCCATACTCTGTCATTTCGACTAGTCACAATTATGTTACAGATGTCTTAAATGATAATACAAACTATCCAAAATGTAATTACGAATAGACAGAAAGACGTTGTTGATATCTACAATGTTAATTCCGGACAGGCAAACTTAGCTTTTAAATGTTAAAAGGGCTTGCCATACAGGGACGTAGGCTCAGAGAGAGGCTCACCATATTCAAACCAAAATATCTGACTTCCTCTTGGTCCGAGCTAATGACTATGTATTAGAAAGTTGTCCGGCTTGAGGAGTACAATGTATATACCGATTTTTGTAACTGTAGATAAAACTAACAACCCCACTTTTGTCAAAAGGTGGCGCTATTTAGTCCTTGCACATTGCCCGTTTCTGAAACTTTGCACGTCTACTGGCTAATAAATGTGATGTATCTGTTGAGTTTCAAGCAATTTCAATTTCAATTTGACTGTTGAAAAGAAGTGCGCCGATTAGATACTCAGGATCGGTATCGGCTCTGACACTGCCATCTTTGACGAGGCTGATTCAAATTCTATATTGTGCATATACTATTCTGTTAGGCACAAAGGCACAAAAACTTTCTAAAGTACCATAAAGTTTTTGTGTACTGTATTATTAGTGTTCTGAAGCTATTATGTGATATAGAAATTAATATTTAAGTCATTAAATTCAAGAACACAAACTTTTCCCTCTCTGCGCCTGTCAGTCATTCTCCATTCAGCATTCAAACAGCACGTCACATTCGGTTACAGTCAATGATGAAACGATCTTCAATGATTCAATGTTAATCCTATTATACTGGATCTTTAAGATAAAGGTCTAAAGGTCTATATTTTCGAATGAAGAAACTTTTTCTTGCTGGACTTTATTGCTGTAACTTAATCGTGTTACTTTCTACCGGGTGTCGGACGCTGTCGGTTAGATCACAACACTAGAGTCAGAGCACTATAATTGTTCTTCACGCACACAGTAACTGAAATTTAAAACCTTTAAAAGAAAAGGCTCAATAAACTATTGCATAGATAGATAATGTATAATACACTGTTCATAAATATGTATTTCCTTTGTGCTTTGAACTTTTCAATACGGACTCAATGCGCTGTAACTTCATGTGGCTTCAAGCACATCATTCTCCGCTCGGGATGCACATAAGTGCTTTGTGCTGCACCGTATTGGAGCCGTAATATCATAATGCAGTGACGTAATGACAGATTATTAATTGCCTTTCAATTATATGTTGCTTTATAGCAGCCATGGCTATATTTTTTTTAATGATTTTTGTTATCTTGTTTTTCATGAATGTATTTTTCAAAAATAAGAGCAATGTGTATTATCTATTATTAATATGGTTTATAATAGCATTTTTGTCATAGATTATGACAAAGTAATCATATGATCCACCAGCGAGGAACCAGCAGAACAGAGTGAACATTCTTTCTGTTTAGTTCAATCCTACTTAATAGGAATTTATTTAAAATGCTCGCTCTACTCCACACCATTAATGTCTTGTGCGGACATCCGTATTTTGACTTTCGGTTTTAAGTAAGCGATTTAAAAGCTCCCAAGTCCCAGCGGAGTCACACGTTGATTAACCGGTGGGAATATACACAATAGGCCTACCTGATATTGAACACAAGAGGGCAGTATAGCACTACGTATGACTCAGATTATTATTTTTTTTATGAATTTTACAACAATTCTGGCTGTTTTTGAACGTAAACACAATTCTTAAATGAAAAAAAAGGAAAAATTGGGGAAGTTATAATATTTGTATAATTTAATTTAGAAACAAATGATGTATAATTACATTTTTAGAAGATATGAGGCTTTTAGTGTTTACTTTTTTGACATTACTTTAATCTTTTGCCATAGTTGCACATGTCTATTGGCTAATAAATGTGATGTATCTGTTGAGTTTCAAGCAATTTCAAGCAAGCTAAGAGTCCCAAAAGCATCAAAAAATAATGTTAAAGTTTGTTTCGTTGCCACGGCATTTTGAAAGTGACACACTTCCTGCTGCCAGTTGGTGGCGCTATAACTTTGACTCACAATAGTCACATCCATGTGATCGGTCTCTTACAGCGAAAACACTGCTGAAGTTTCATCAAGATCAGTTAATGTATGCTGAAGTTATAACACACATCCTGTTCCATGTTTCTCGCCATAATTTCGTTTCCTCGCCACGGCCAAACCGTTCGAGATATCAAAAATCCCGTGGCACTTTTTCATCCTTAATGTCTTGACTTCACGCTGATCGAGTTTCGTCGAATTTGGTTCAGTGCTCTAGGAGCAATAATTTAAATTACATTGCATGTGTTTTAAACACAACCCTAAATAGCCAACTTCCTGTTGGGCTGGGGTAAAAAGTAAGAGTGTGAAGTATATATGAAACGATGAGATCTATATGTGTACCAAGTTTCATATTATTACATGCAAGTGTGTTTGATTTATGGACCAAATTTTCAGACCAAGTTTATTGACCAAGTTAATCTGATTAATAAACTAATTATATAAAACTATTGTCAATTCACTACAATTAAACTAGTTATATGCCTTTACTTATAAAAAATAAAAATAAAAACTTATTTAAAAAATACCAGGCTTGAGAAATGTATTTTCTTTATGCAGGTCATACACACAGCAGTGAAATGGTTAAGCCCCCTCCCCCTGCACACACACACACACACACACACAGACAGCCAGCCAGCCAGCCAGCCAGCCAGCCAAAGGCTCAGAGTGGCCATATTCAAACAAAAATATCTGAGTTTCTGTGGGTCCTAGCTAATAAGTGTCAATTAGAAAGTTGTCCGGCTCGAGGAGTACAATATACATACCAATTTTTGTAACTCTAGTTAAAACTAACCACCCCACTTTTGTCAAAAGGTGGCGCTACTGAGCCCTCACCACGCCCGTTTCTGCAACTTTGCACATGTCTACTGGCTAATAAATGTGATGTGTCTGTCGAGTTTCATGCAATTTGAAGCATGCTAAGGGTCTCAAAAGCATCCTAAAAGCATCCTAAAAGAAGGGTAAAGTTTGATGCGTCGCCACGGCAACAGTTTCAAAGATATCAAGAATCCATTCACAGGTCTACATCTGCCGTATGTTTACATTATACATATGAAGTTTGAAGCAAATCGGGTAAAAATAAAAGGGTGATATCTAAGCATTTTGAAAGTGACACACTTCCTGCTGCCAGTTGGTGGCGCTATAACTTTGACTCACAATAGTCACATCCATGTGATCGTCCTCTTACAGCGAACACACTGCTGAAGTTTCATCAAGATCAGTTAATGTATGCTGAAGTTATAACACACTTCCTGTTTCACGTTTCTCGCCATGATTTCGTTTCCTCGCCACGGACAAACCGTTCGAGATATAAAAAATCCCCTCGCAAACTTTCATCCTCAATGTCTTGACTTCACGCTGACCGAGTTTCGTCGAATGTGGATCAAAGCTCTAGGAGGAGTATTTGACATTCCATTGCGAGCGTTTTACAAACAAACCTCAATAGCCAAATTCCTGTTGGGCTGGGGTAAAAAGTAAGAGCGCGAGGTATAGATGAAACGATGAGATCAACGTGTGTACCAAGTTTCATATTATTACATACAAGCGTGTTTGAGTTATGGACCAAGTGTTCGGACCCCGTTCCAGGGGGCGCTGACGAGCTGCCCTGCCACGCCCGGGTACCATCTTCAGCCCGGCTCTGATGGCCGCGGGTTCTGACCCGTGTGCAAAGTTTCAAGAGTTTTCGAGCACGTTAAGGGCCCCAAAAGTGCCCAAAAGGTAGTAAAATAATAATTATTATAATAATAGAGAAGAAAAATAATCGCAAGGAAAACAATAGGGCCTTCGCCCTTTCAGGGCTTGGGCCCTAATAATAGTAAAGAAAAATAATCCCAAGGAAAACAATAGGGCCTTCGCCCTTTCAGGGCTTGGGCCCTAATGATACGGATTTGGATAAGTTGTACTCTATCTTTAACACACTTTCAGATGCTCATTCATGTTTATTTCGCGCTGTGACTGGTATTATTAAGCCGGAAGAGAGATCAGGACTATGAGCAGTAGGTGATACTTCCTCGTCCGGCTCATGGAAACAGTTCGTACCGCTTTCTCCTTTCCACAAGTGCTCGCTGTCCCGTGGAGTCTCTCGTTGCTATGCAACCTTGAACAGAGGCGCGATTGGATAAACGAGCGCGCCGCCACCGCGTCACTTCTATTCTGAGTGGAGCGCGTATGCCTTATTTAAATTAACGAACGGCCCCTTATGGCAACATTAGCCTAATCGAAAATATTTCCATATATGGCTCTTTCCTCCGTTCTTGTCAACAAGTGGATTCAGAGCCACATTAGCAGCGCTGCCGGTCGCCATGTCTGTGTTTTTAGGTGTATAAGTGAATTAAGTGAATGTCATGATATTGCTGATCATGAAAAGATTTTGCGGCGGCGCTGAAAATCCAGCGGCGGCGCTGCGCCGCTGCTGAATACATTGTAGGGGAAACACTGCTTGTTGAATAGAAGTATTCATTTCCTTGTAGTATTCAAAAAACAAAGGATCACTGATGCGTCCAGTATAGAGAGAGATTTGGTTACTCTGGTTGTGAATCAGCCATGCTATTCTTGATGAGATTGGAAAGAAGATACAAGGAAAAAACACATGAAATTCAAATGTATGCAAATCTACAGCACCTCACGGTCACCCAGTTGCCCTGCTGCACGGGCTCTACTTCAGCCGGAACCGAACAATGTACAGAGTTCACTAAGCTAGTCGCATCCAAAGCAGTATCTAAAACCCTTGCGCTCTTACAATTAACCTTGATACTGAATGTCAGTACCCAGACAGTTGACGGTCGTAGGAAAAAAAATACTATGTAAGTCAATGAAGTACATCAACTATTTGGTTACCAACACTCTTTAAAAATATCTTCCTGGGTGAGTAAATGATGACATAATTTTCATTTTGAAGTGAACTATTCCGTTAACAACTGACACAGGTGATTTGTCTGTTTTCAAAGGTGAATAAAAAACATTTATATCCACATATGTAAACATGACATTTGCAGCATGAAAAACATGCAAAAAATGCTGCATGCAAATAAGTCGTAAAAACCCCTGAATGATTTGAATTCGGGGAAAAAACACAAAAAACAAACAAACACAATACACATAACAGATTCAGGTTTATAAAATAATGGGGATTTAGGTTGGTCTTACTGAATCATTGTTGTCAAGTTGAATTATATGATTTTAGAATTTTGTTTGTTTTTTATTTAAGATTTTTAATTTCTACAAAAGCTCTCAAAAGAATGAACAGACATTCCCATTCAGTCTTAAAAATAAAACACAAAACACCACAACATCATAAAACTGATCAGTATGACTTGTGTGTTATATTACATCTTCTGATTCTTGCAATACACTTTTTAGAGGAAAGGGTTCTTTATAGACAATATATTGCCTAAAAGAGCACCAAGTATCCCATTTTTATAGCAGTTACTAATTTTTATTCATAAATGACAGAACCGAATTTGATGAATTAAACATAATTCACCAGTAGAAAAAAAAATGAAATAACCAGTTTAACATGAGATTATCGTGCAATCATTTAAGATATTACTTGTATAGAACTTATAGAAGTCAAGAACCCTCGGGTTCTAAACAACACCATTAAAAGTTTTTAGAGGAGACAGGAGTAAGCTATGAGGAACAGACTTTGAATTGAAATGGTTATTCTCTGAAAAATGTAATTCATTAACAAATCATTCTTTTGATAGTTTTTTTTTTTTAAATGGATCAGTACCAGTTCACAAAAGCAGTGAGAATCATCCATACTACACCCCGCAACATCTGAACATGCAAATAAGTGAAATACATTTGAGAAATATTTCCTGAATGATTTGAATGGAAAAAATAAATTATTAATTATTAGCAAATTATTTTATGTATTATTTATTTATTTATTTCATTAAATTATTTTTGTTAATTAAATATATATTTATTTTGAAATGGTAATGGTCAGTACTAAATCATTGTCAATAAGTTGAATATCTGAGTTTACTTAAAGTTTTTATTTATTTATGACATTAATCCACTCTTAAATGAATGAAAAGACATATCTTAGTTCATTATAGTACAGATATATTTTTTTGTTAAAACATTTATGAATACAAAATGTATCTCCATCTGTAAAATTAGAGTCGTGAAGTACATTAACATGTACAGTATTTGTTTTATTTAGAATTTTACTTTATCCACTTCTGCGTTCACTGACATTAAGAAATAAAAAAGGAACATTTACAAATGATGAATGGCATATTTTACAAACCATTTTTCATCTATATTTAGTTGAAATTAAAATAATTAGAATTAGAATACATTCTTTTATTATATTAACATTATTTACTTTATAATATACTAAACCTCAGTAGTGTCATAAGGACATGTAAACCTGCGTAATCGTGTTTTGATTATGCAAAGGAATATCATGCTGTAAATCTAACACAAACCCCACCTCTGTAAATTCAGTATATAATATTCTCACACTGTCCATCTGACACCCTTCATCTGGATCATGGCACTGCACATCATCACCGTGGTTCTTTTCACTGTGTTCGTCTCCGAAGGTACGTCATACAGGATTTATTGTGTCCATCCATTTCTTTTATAGCTTTGCTGATAAATGCACTTTTATAAAACAAATGTGTGAGTCTTTTGCAGACATTTATTTCATTGTTTTAAAAAAAAAAAAAAACATTTAGAAATGTTTTAAAAGGCTTTATATGCACGCTATGAATGTCCCTCATTATCTTGTCATTGTCTTTCAGCACTGACACTGACATGTTTCAACTGTACCGGGACTCCACCTGCAACATGCACATCAACTGCTAACTGTTCACAGTGCAGTTCCATGACCACGAACACGACCATGGCCTCAATCGGTAATAATAACATTATTATATAATAATAAAGGATTGTGTTATTGACTGGGTTTGCTCGTGAACTTGATTATTTTTAATGTTGTTGATTGTAGATGGCAGAAACAATGTTGATGTGAAGAGTTGCGACACTGGCCCGTGTGTTAATTTGACCATAAATTCTGAATTGATCAGCATCTCCTCCAAATGCTGTTCTTCAGATTACTGCAACAATGCTACAGGTACTATAAACATGTAAATGTAAAGGAAACTTCAGATTATTCAAATTTATACATTACATTTTTTGAAAAGGTTTGTTTTATATTAATTTTACATAACATTTCCACAATGGTACTGTGATCTTTTAGTTGCTAGTACGATCACTGTAACAATGCGTAATTGTCATTGTTAACTTTGTTCCAACCTGTATGATTTTCTGTCTTCCATGTAATACAAAATGATCATTTGTTTTAATTTGCAATGAATGGAAGTTTCAAACTTCAAAAAGGGCACAGATTAACCCATTCATATTTATGTCATTATTCACTCATAATCTTTATTTCTATAGTTAATCAATGATTTGAAATTAAGAACCAAGTCATTCTGACTGCTTTGGCAAACTTGATCAACTGAATCAGGGAAAAGAGAAGAGAACTCAAAAGAAGAGATCTTATTTAAACAGAAGACATGTTACTGTTTAAATAAGTATGTTCTTCAAACAAAGCCCTTGTATAGATTCAGAAGATAAATATAATGCGAATATAAATATATAAATATAATGCACAAGCCCTATGGATCACTTGTTGTGTTTTGTGTCCTTTTTGAAAGTCTCTGACAATATGGTGACAGTTGCTAAGGCTTTTTAATGTATGATGTTCAACTGGCTCTGCTTTTGTTTACACCTTCAGACTCAGAGAACGGATTGAGCTGCGATGTCACAGGCGGCACACTGAAATGTAAAGTTGGTGAGAACCAGTGCTTCACTGTAACAGGTGATTCATAGACAATTGCTGATTCGATTCTAAGCTACAATGCACAGATTTGCTGTTTTATAATGTGAATGAATAACAGTTATGTTTTACCACCAAGACTAATTTCTGCTGAAAGCTTTCTACAAATCCTTTTCCTCTTCTCTTTTTTCTGCCAGTTGGATTTAATGGCACGAACCTTAATCTCAAAGGATGCGCAAGCCAAAACATCTGTAACAGTACACTAAGGAACATTACACTACCCCCAGGAGTAAACATATTTAATTTTTCATGTCTCCATGAAGCAAAAAATATGACACAGGGACCTGTTTCTGCTGGGACCAGTACTTTTTCCCATCTGAAATCTGTTTTAGGAGGTTTTCTTTTGGTTTTAGTATTTAGATGCTCAGTTTTGTCAATGTAAAGCAGTTTCAAGCTTTTCTGATTAATTAAGAGAAATGTATTTGTTGAAAATGATCACCTGTGTAATAAGTCTTTATATTTCTAATCAGGAATTTAATCATGTAAAATAACCATTTATTAACAGTTACTTTATTAGCAGTCTTATTAAACACTAAAATTTGAATGATCAAAATCCCTCGCTATATTCTTGTCGATGTGCAGAATAATTAGAAAGGGAGAAAAGTAACAGGGAGTAATAATTTCATATAGATGAAAGTTGAATTACAGCACATTTTCACACTTTAGGTGTGCTTTGTATTTTTTATAGTAGTATTTTGAAGATAAATAATGCACTTATACATTGCATTTTGAGGACACGGTAAGAGATCATATGAAATTAGGTTTGAGATTTAATTAAACATAATTTATCAAGCAGTACTTTAATGTTGATAATGTAAGTCGAGTATTCAAGCCCCTTCATAGCTAATAACATGTTATAATATAATAGTGTGGATAACATATTATAATATTTTTATTTGAAACAAAATAATAATACCATTATATCTGTAAAAAAAAATGGTATTATGATATAACATTAGAAGAACAAAAAGGTTTGCCATGAATAAGTTGAAATATGTTTTTCATTAAATCAGATACCATAAAATAATGTTAAATTAAACACAAGGAAATATAAATATTGACCATTTGCATCATTGGCTCTATTTTAAAGGGGTCATCGGATGCCCATTTTCCACAAGTTGGATTCTTCAGGGTCTTCTTCGTGTAAAGTTTGTAATATACTTTGGTTAAAATTACTCACGGCTTGATTATTAAGTGTTTATGCTTGTTGAGGATTAAAAAAAGGAGTGAATGAATTTTTTTTCATTGTATGTTGGTTGTCTTCACACCCTGCAAAAACACATCTACCATATCAAAGTAAATTTTGTATCCGATGACCCCTATAAGCTATTATGTAGTTTTCAACTTGAAAAGACAGTTGGAACATTAAGGGTTATATGACAAAACATATTTTAAGATTAGTAATCAAAATACCCTTCATGTTGGTCTATACATTTTCATATCACAAACAAATGTATATGCATGTAAATACAACCAAAAACATTGCCATAATTCTGTACATATGATTCCATAGCATTATGCAGAATGGTTAAGAGTTTTTCTGTCATAAGGGTTAAGTCAAACACTGTGTGCCAGAAATCAGGTGTTTTTTTTTTATACTTGATAATTATTAACAATGTAACCTAGTGTAAGATTAACACCAGATATTTGGATTTCAGATCAAGTTTGGTGATGTCAGCCACTTATAAGCTGTATGTATATTACAATCATGTTTAACAATGAGAGGTTTCTCTGAAAATCCTCACTCAACAAGTATAAGAATTCATGGTCATATATCGATAATGTTTTTGGCACAGTTTGAATTAGATTAAAAAGTTTGCCTTTAGGGTTTGTATAGCGCATTTGTGTTCTCACAACCACAGTGACACGCATTACATTAGACATGGACGTTGTATTCATGAGATTTATTTATTCTGTTCATTAAAGGAATAATATTGATTCCTACTATGCCTACTAGGATTGGCTAATGAATATGAATTAGATAACGTTCTCTAAGAATGTCTGCATGCGTCAATAGTATTAATGAAAAATGCCGTCACCATAGTAGCGTTCATTCCATTCATTGACTGTATAAGTCAAGGTTCAGTCACGTATGCTGGTGGGCGGGGCCTATCAGTTTCAGTCAGCGGCGCTCGTGCATCAAACGAAACGAGCAGCCGTCCCAAACACCAAGACAGCTCTCTAAAATGTTTTGCTAACGTTTCTTATCTGGTTTTATGTATAAACGAAAGTCAATATATTCTGTTCAAATATTTGGAAAGTTGTTTCCTTTCTTTCATTGTTTTCACTCGTTGAAGTGTCTAACGTTACACGTCTAGAGTTGGAAATGCAGTTATTCATCTGTCCTGAGATCTGTTCTTCGCTGGTTTATCGTCATCATCATCATTAACAGGTTTGTGTGTTCTTATCTTACTGTCTGTTTATCCTAAAATAAATATTGAAATATTATTTAATATATGTATATTAAATTATACTATATTGAATTAGGTAGGCCTATTTACAAGTTTACATTTTTTTGTAATCAATCCTTGTAAGAATTAGATAATTTATTGTCTTTTGTTCATTTTGTACTTTGTACACGGCCCCTATCCTGCATCATTACATTATAAAATCTATCAGCATCATTGGTTCTATAATAATTATAAGAATTTATAAATAACAAGAAGGGTAGCCAATTATATTCATAGTTACAGAGCATCGCAAATTTGTTTTGTTCCTTTAAACCAATAACCATTACAAATAGGATTGATCCGGTGATATCAGACACAAATTAAATAACCTTTTCATGGATTAAACAACCTTAGGTTAAGCTCAATCGTTGCCTAAACTTTATATCCTTGTTACAAATAATTAAAATGGAGCATCCATCACTTTGATTGAGCAAGTACAAGTTCTACAAGTTTGGGGACTGAGATTATTATTTTTTATCAGTGCAAATATAACAAAGACTAGCATGTTTTACATGGCACATGGTAAGGCAGTCATGTAAGCCTGGATTCAAGTAATTGAATATTTAAAAAAGGAGTTTTTCACTAGGATCCTTTAAAAGTTGATAAGCCTGCCTATTCATATTTCTGTCATAACTATGCATCGTTATACTGTATGTTTGTTATTTGCATTTAGCAATCAAAAGAGACATGTGATCCATTTTAAGGTCGAGATCTTTTTTAAAGAAACACATACTACTTTCCATTGTTTCCTTAAAGATAAATAAATTCTATATATGTAATGCATTCTGTTCCGCGGTGCAAATGCTGTGGCACGATTTTGAAAAGTAATTAGTTCATTTGTTACTTTAAAAAACCGTTTGACTGAAAAGCGGAACAGACCATTTGCAACTTTTGCTCAAAAGAGCACGTCTAGATTGTGACATGAATGTCAATTAGAGAGGTCCTCAGTGTAGAACATGGTGATGAGCTCTGTTAATAAATAACTCAGAGGAAAACCAAGAAATATTACATAGAACATTCTGTTATCTCCGAGTTGTACAAAATAGCTGTTTTTTACCTTTAATGACTTTCTCTTGCAGAGACATGACTTAAAGCTGCATGGAGGCACAGACAGACATGAATGTGCAAAACCTCTGTTGGTGTTTATAGACTTACTGATGTCAGAATTATTTGTGGTCATTGAAATGTTTCCCTCCATTATGTCATTTTATTATAATTTAGATTCTGAAACCTTTTTTGTAAGATAGTAGGATCACTTAGGGTTAGACTACTAAATGATGACAGAATTATCATTTTTGTTTGAGCTATTGATTAACCATTTTAAATAAAGCTTCTTTTCCGTTTGTTCTGTACTCAGGGCTTCCTGTTTTCAGGATGTCTTCTCTGACAGATGCCTGCTGGAGGTAACCGAAACACACCACAGCCATTTTTATTCACCCTGGAGTGGACATGGTCCATTGGGCCACTCATCTGGTGACATGTGTCTGGATACAGGCTGTAATGTCTGCATTAGACTCTTGTCCCCAACGGCCCCCATCGCTGTGGACTTCTCGGTGCCGTACCCAATGACTTACTTTCAGACCCGCAATCCCATCCAGAACATAGTTACCAACTCCCTTTTCCAAGAGGTCTACGTGGCCTCTCAGAACGTCATCGAGGCCGTGAACATCACTCTAGGGAAACTGTGGGAACTCCGTACGGGACCGGTTGCCAGTCCGGAGTGTGAGATATGCAATTTGTGTGATATCGCAAGAGATCCCTTCCAAGAGGACACAGACAATGAGGTGTTGCTCCTAGACACGTTCCTGATGTACTTGTACTCGTGTGGAAGTTCCCAGTATGGAGTTTGCTTTTTCCATCAACTCCATGAAAATGGAAAGCCTCCTGGGCCTTCGAAGTGTTTATTCCGGAAGAAGTTCAACTCTCCGCACTTCTGTCCGGATTGCATCGCTAGTCCTTTGGGAACTAAAGTCTCCATGGTGGAAGAGGGTCAAACGGTTTACTTCTTTGTCGCGGCAACAGTGAACAGCAGCGTGACTCAAAAATACGGTCGCATGTCCATTTCCGTACGCCGACCAGTTGCGACCGAGGATGGTTTTTACACCGACGTCAGAGGGTTGACGGTTTTGCCTGCTCTATGGCAAACATACAGCATTGAGTACATCTACAGTTTCTACACGCAGGACTTTGTCTACTTCTTGTCTGTCCAACGAGAGAGAACCGACATAGACACTTCGCCCTTTCAAACAAGACTAGGCCGTCTACCACGCCACGAGTGGGAGATGCGACGGTATCGTGAAATTGTTTTAGAGTGTCGTTTTGAGCCCAAACGGCGACGGAGAAGCAATGTCAGCGAACCTTTCAAAGACGTGGTCTACAACGTGGTTCAAGCGGCCCATTTTGGGAAGGCTGGGCGGGAGCTCGCGGATGAGCTGGGTGCTGAAGAAGAGGATGATATCTTATATGGTGTGTTCGCTGTAACTGATGACTCGGGTGTTCCTGAAGATGACTCGGCACTTTGTGCATTTCCGATGGATACAGTAAACACAGCAATAGATGACGGAGTGGAGGACTGTTGCAAGTCGGGACCAGAACAGCTTTCCAGAGGCCTTTGCCATTTTCAGCCCTGTGAGAGCTGCCCACACGAGGTTAGTGCATTTCAGCTTTGTTTTTGTTCACAACAATCTACTGTAAATTCTGTACGATTTTGAACCAGTTTTAATGGAAAGCATCGATTACCACAGAAAACGATCTATGACTTCTAAAGGAAAAATTACATTAAGCACCACAAATAAACGTGTAAATGCCACACTGTTTTCAATGTTTAAATTTAGCACATGACTTAACGTATGGTTTTGAAGAATTGGCTGGTGGATTGGATTTCTTGCCCATCATAACTTTTCCATATGTCGGCTTTAATTGTTTCCGTCTTCAGTCTGTTCCCATTACACTCTCTCATTTCGGATGTTATTGTTTTAAATTGAGACCTGAGAAGCTTTCTAAGTGGGCAATGTCGTACCTTGCCAAATTACTGTAAGAAAAGCCTAAAGGTATTTTAATTGGCTTGCTTCTTTCTTTTTTTTTTTTTGTAAAATAGTTTGAGTGACCACAGTCTGGGTCATAAGTCTTGCTTGTATAGTCTGTCTCATGTCTTTGTGTTTGTTAGGGTTTAAACTTCTATAGAGAGTAAAAATGGCACTGAATGCACTACACTCATAAAACAATAACTGTGTCGCCTGATTGAAGAAACCATGTAAAAATCCTTTGTAATTTACACTGAGGCTCAGAGATGCAATCTGTTTTTCAAGCACTTATTAAGTGTTATTGCACCTGTGGCACACAAAATGCAAAAACATTTTTTTGTTAATGCAGGGATTAAAAGTATACTATTGTATACAACTATTGTAGTCCAATGGGAAAAACACATTTCCAAAACCCATTGGACAGTTGGTTCAGACAGATAGTCAAAGATAGTTCAAGTTTTAATGAGGTTGATATTGCATTATAGTCACTGTTTTTTTTTTTTTTTTTTTTTTGTGTGTGGTTGTGCTTTTTGTGAGTCTGATCGTCTGAGACATTACTCATGACTTGGAAATGTTTAAAAACTTGAATCAGACTTGCAAAACAGTGACCTGTTTGGCCTGCTGGCAAAATAACACTTTAAAACCCCCAGTTTTTAAGTTTTAAGATTCTTAAGTAGACTTTGTTTGTGAGTGTGTGTTTAAACATCCATATATATTTCTGTTATGTAGCCTATATTTCATATTCAAGCTTGCAATAGCTCTGCTTCTTCTATCTTAACATCTGTTAAATAACTTACTTAAATCTAATGTTCCCCTGCTCTGTATCACAGCAGTATTCTTTGAAAACAATCTCAACCACTTACAGGATATTCTAGCTTCATTTTCTTCATTATAGAAAGCATTAAAAGTCTGATTTTCAGTGTTGCGGAAGGTTTTGGAACATTACAAAAATTTGAATGTAAAAAATGCACTTGTAAGGCAGAGTATTTTAGAGGAACGTTTTTGGGCATGCGGCAGATAGAACACTTTTAGGCTCCTCTGAGTGTGTCAGTTCATGATTATGGTATGTGCCCTAAAATTAGCATAAGGATGTGTACAAAGTATGTTAAAAACTCTTTTCTTTTTGTGGGCACTGCATATTTGCAAGAAACTTATTTGTATCATACCTTTACATTTTTCTGTATATGCCTATAATGCTAATGTACATTTGAGCATTGCACACAGCATAAATGTGTGGCAAGTGTTTTAAAATATGTGAAGTTTTCACCAGAGATCCTTGTTTTAGTGTTCAGATGAGAACTTACTTGTACGCAATCCAAATATCCCTGTAATGTGTGGGAGAATGTCTCGGAAATCTCAGAGTGTGATTGCGAGTTTGGTGCTATAAAGACACAGTTTACAGCTGGTATGTGTGTATGAGTGTGTGTTAAGAGTTTTTTTTTGTTCCATTGTGGTCAATGTTTATGGGAAATGAGTGGAAAAAGGAGAAAATGACAGTGTATTTTTTTTTAGATTTCAATGAGAGACACAGATTACTCACTTTGTCAAAAGGATGATTTAGCATTTTTGAACAGGTACACTTTATTTATTTTTTTTTTTTAAAAACAGTATCTACATTGAGCTAGTTTAGTTTGTGGTAAATCAGACTATATAAATAAGTAGTCAGTCAGACCCGCTTATTTTATATTAGGCACAGTTTTTGTGTTGATCAGGGGTTGTGTGGTTAATGTATATGCCAATGTATATGACAAACAATACAGGAAAGGCTTCAGAGAGATGTAAGAGCTCACTGTAGTTTACAGCAGAGCAGAATACCATGATCGTATTCAACAGAGCACCGCAGTACTAAGGAAATTTGAGACTGAGTTTGTTTGTGTTTTCTAAATTGGTTGCCTAGTAGTTTATTGGAATATCCAATTTTTTGAATTTTTTCAATTCCTGTCTGTATGTCTATCTATCTGTCTCTCTTTTGTTATTTTTTCTATCTTTATGCCTCTCTATCTATTATTTTTCTATCTATATGCCTATATCATTCATCATTTTGTCTATCTATCTATCTATCTATCTATCTATCTATCTATCTATCTATCTATCTATCTATCTATCTATCTGTCTGTCTGTCTGTCTGTCTTTTTATTTTTCAAATTTAGTTTGTATTTATTACAGTATATTTTTTATTTTTTTACTATATACATTTGTTTTTAAATTGACTGTATTGACCTATTTTTTTTCTTCCTTTTTTGAACATCCCAAATGTTATTTTCATTTTATGTTCATTCTAGTTATTTATTTACAAACATACAGATAACTTTTGACTGTGGGTAAATGACTGATTTTAGAAAATGAATGAAAGTGTTTGTGAAAATGTCTAACTTAAAATGTCTGGACCACAGAACATCTATTATAAAAACAGACAAACAGGTATCTGTAATACAGCAGTGCAACTCTGTTTTCTTGCGTATGTGTGATTAGAGCATGGAGCACAATATGACCTGCAGAGATCAGCCCACCCTGGTGTCTCAGCCGTACTACAGAGTAGACCTCTTCAACAGACAGATGAGAGGCGTTCTGCTCACTTCTATACTGGTCACCAGCATCGAGAACAAGACAGTGGCTCATATAGGCACATCAGATGGGAGACTCCTGCAGGTGTGGATCAGAAACATGACAGTTGCTAGATATGCCACTGTGATTTATCATTATGTCAACCTCTTTTCTTTTCACACCACAGCTTGTCCTGAGAAGGTCCAGCCCGGTCATCTTTGCCAATTACTCCCTTGTAGAGAACCAGAAGGTGTCGTCTACCGCAGCGGTTCTTTCCCCAGACCATTTACTGTTTGTTGTTGGAGATAAGGTATGATCCAGATAAAGTTCCAACCATGATTTCACATGAATCTTTTTAATTAGTATGCAGTATGCAAGAAACAGTCCAAGTGGACATGGCCAAGTTTCCAGATGGCTAATAAAAGTTCTATATTCATAACTGGCAGATGATTCAGGTGCCTCAGAGAGGTCCAGGTTGCCGACACTTCCTCACATGTGCCATGTGCCTGACCGCACCAACGTTCATGGGGTGTGGCTGGTGCTCGGGTCAGTGCACCTGGGCTTCGGAGTGCAGGGGATACTGGGGAAATGAGTCATGTCCGCCTGGCATCACAGAGGTGAGATATGATTGGAAAATGAATCGGACAGTCTACAACAAGGCTGTAGATGTAACGAATGGATATAAATGTTTATACATGCACTGCCTGGCCAAAATTTTTTTTTTGAATTTTTTGAATTTATTATTGGATTATAATTGCGGTGATTATAATGTTTCTAGCATGTTACATGTTACACTTCTAATCCTAATTGATGGGGTGTATAGCTTTTCTTAAACAACCATGTAGGAACTAGGAAGACATATCATGACCATATTCCGTATTTCCATAATTTTTTGGTCAAGTTCTTGTATTGTCAATGCAAGAGTCAAGCACTTTGTAAAATATTCTCCAGCACTTCCCAAAAACTTTCAATGAATTTAAGGTCTGGACTATTTCATGTGTGAAAAGGATTCTTCATGCCAAGAATCCCTCCCAACCATTCTTTCACAATGGAATATAGCCATGATGTTTCTTCCTACATGGTTGTTTAAGAAATTAAAAGCTACACACTCTATCAATTAGCATTAGAAGAACTTTTGCCAAAATATAACATGCTAGAAACATTATAATCACGGCAAAAATAATCCAATCATAGACTCTTGAGCAATTGCCTATTCAAATCCAAACTGTGACTCTTTTTTTTTTTTTTGTCCGGTAGTGTACACACATGTTTATATATGTTTACCCACAGGGTAATAGAAAGCATTTAGCAAATAATACATGAATGGAAATGTTCTGTGCTCAGTTTTTCCCCAAGACAGCACCCCCTGATGGTCAGAGTGAGATGACTCTGTGTGGATGGGAGTTCCAGTCGCCCCTGCGACCCGCCATCACGACCAGAACCCATGAGGTGAAGCTGGGTGAGACCGCCTGTGTGGTCCAGCCTCACAGAAGCAACAACACACAGTAAGTATTCCTGATTTCCTCTTCTTACAGATGATGAATAACAATAAAAGTGGATTTAAAAAAAAAAAAAAATTAGTCAGCTTCATTGTCACATACATATTTGCATTAGATTTTGTATGCTCATGGAAAGTAGAAAGATATTTGCATTGTACATGGTTGAATGAAGGTAAGTGTTTAAGTCATGCATTGTAACTGGTCATTTTTCTGCCCAGCTTATTGTGTAAGATCCGCTCTGGGACGTCAGAGCCACTTTTTAAACCATTGAACGTCACAGCAAAAGTGCACGAGGGACGAGCGGAGGGCCGCTACTCTATTGAAGGAAGTGCAGAAATGCCTGGATTCACCTTTGTGGTAACTAGTTAATTTGCTACACAAGCAAAACGTGCATTTTTTTTTCTCTTAAAAATGTCAACTTGACTTTTTAAAGAATAGTCATTAGCATGTGTGTTGACAATAGATTACCTTTGCAAAACTTTTTTTTTTTCCACCAGGTTCCAAACATCACTGAGGTTCAACCTGACTATGGGCCGGTGGACGGAGGAACCCTCATCACCATCACAGGTCCTTATCTGGACTCTGGCAAAAACAGGAAAGTTACACTTGATGGAGAAACATGTCCAATCCGAAGGTGTGTGTATTCATTATATCAATCTTCAACTGGCGGCCTGAAGAGGCACTGCCAATTATATCAAATTCATTTTTGTGTGAATATGCCTAAAACGCAATTTATTATGTTAAAATGATATATACTAACTGATATTTTCTTATGTCTTTGAAATAAGTCTCATTTGATCAAGAAGGCTGAATCACATTACACATATACATACATTACTTTTGATCAATTTAATGTGTCCTTGCTGAAGAAAAAAAAAACATTTCCCCAAACTTTTGATTGGTATTACATGTATATGATATATAACAGTCATTATTAATTTAATTGCTTTACAAAATGTTTGAAATATAACATAAAGTATGTAAATGTATCTAAAATTTTTCACTGTTTCACACAATATGTAACGGTGTTCATGCTTCAGTGTCTCTGTGGCCAGAGGAAACCTGTCCTCCATCGTATGTGTCTCTCAGCCTGTGACGGAGGTGAAGGACGTGGTGCTCCGTGTCTACATCGATAAGTCCCGTGTTGTGACCACTAACGTCTTCCGCTACAAAAAGACCCCTGAGATCCTTTCGGTGCTGCCCGATTGCAGCTTTGACAGGTACTGTAGATGCAGGAACTTATATGTTGTTTACTTACTAGCAACTGAGAAAAAATTTGGATTGTCTAACATTTTATCTTGCTGAATTGCAGTGGGTCAAGAATCGTCATTGAAGGCCGAAATCTGGACTCTGTCTACAAAACTGTTGTCTACTTTAAACCCAAAGAAAGCCACCTCAAGCCTGTTTCCATTGTATGAACTGTAAACTTTTGCTCTTGAGATGTTTCATACTTGATATTTTGCCTTGTTTATTTAAAGGGGTCATATATCATGAGTAGTATTGATTAATAGTTTAAAATAAAAAGGTATTGTATTATTCTGTAACTTTCTGAACTCAAAAGTTCAAAAAGATTTATTGAAGGTACTGTAGGATGGAAAAATTGTTAACCCTAAAACCGTATTCTGGACAAATGTGGGCAAAATAGTTTTGATTTATTTGTAAAAAAATACTTCCCTTGATCTGAGCGGTACAAAACTTGGATACTTTCCTAACTTTGCCTCCTGAATACACACACTTTTTTTTTTACTCAATTCTACAATTTTAAGTGGGTGAAAAAAAAAAACTCCTTAATCTTGTATTTGTGTCAAAAATGGGCACCCATAGAAATGAATGGGAAAAACTATAATTTAGAGCATTCTAAAATAAGCCAAAATAAGACACCAGGTGACAGCAACAGTCACTTCATCTTTAGGTTTTAGCTCGAAGAACTTATTGGAATGATATTTTAATGTAGTTAAAAAAAATAAAAAAATAAAACATAAAAATAAGCATAATTTACATAGAAAATATGGTACTTTTTGAAGTAAATAAATTCAAAAATACCCCCTAAATAAAAATATCACACCATAAATGGATAGACAAAACTTTATCGAAGACAGTGATATAACATTTATAATAAATTAAAATTAGGATCACATCTGAGTCCTGTGTGCCCACATTTGTCCACAATTACAGGATTAAGAGCTATAAAGTGAATACGGTTTGAGGGCTACTTCTAAAATTCTTAAGAACCTTAAATATATAGTTCAGTCGGACTCGGATCTGTTTCAGTTGCATGTTTTCAAAGCACGGTATCTCATTTCAAATCATATGCGTAGATGTTGGTGGCTTCGGAGCATGTTAGACTTTCATAACATTCTTCCACGAGAGCTGCGATCATAAATGAAAGATTAAAGTGTTTTAAATCTTTACGTTTGCAGTGCAGCCTTAGTGTTTTCAGATTGCAGTATCAAAGCGTACAGATATATATTTGTGGACACATTGCACAACCTGACATTCGCCTTGTTTTACATTTGTTCCGTACTGTTGTTCTCTGAAGGAGTGCAGGGGTAAAGCAAAACCCACCCGAATGGAGTGCATCACCCCCGTCTTCCATCGAGATGAGACCGAAGAGGGCGAGCTCTCGTTTGACATGGACGGAGTGCTTGGCCTGTGGAAACAAGACTTCTCCTACCACCCCTATGGCAGACCCATCCCGTTTGAGACTGAAGGTCACATACTGAGACTCTACCCTGGGTTTGATGAAGTGTCCTTGCATGTATGTAGCGACATCCATTATTAAATCACATTATTCCATTGACTTTTTTCACTCTCAATCATCTTTGAATGTATGCCTTGATAATGTTTTATGGGGAGACCATATTTAAAAACCTGGAAATAAAAGATTTTAGAATTTGGAACATTTTAAAAGCTAAATAATATTTAAAGATAAATCATTTTCCCTTGTAATATATTTCACTATAAAGACACTGTTTGTGATTATACAACTTTTTTTTTCTTATGACACAGCATCAGAAGTTGAACCTTGTGAGTTCTTGCATGTCAATCACGATGACGGTTGGAGACGTTGACTGTGGCGCTAAAGTTCTAGATAATGAGATCACATGCAGGATCCCTAATAATATCACTATTCCCAGTGAGGGTTTACCTGTGAAGGTGAGTGCTTGAAAATATGTGTAGATCTATTAATTCAGTAATTTTACCTTTTCTTTAGCCAAAGCACCTGACATCAGTATTTTCTCATGCCAGGTAACAGTTAATGGGTACACACATAATGTTGGCACTGTAATCTTGGTCAGTAACCACTATATGGTGGGTATTGTCCTTGGCATACTGGCAGCTCTGGTCACGGGTGCGGTTATGGCCTTCATTGTGTTGAAACATCTGAGGAAGCAGAAAAAAGGTGAGCACATTTCACATTTTCCTTTCATTTAAGCAATGCCAAGTCTTATTTTGTGGTCAAATCTTTTTCATCCATTTTTTTCAGTTACACATCTTAGCAAGCACAGTTAAGATTATCGATTTTATCAATACTTTTTTTCTTCTTTTTTTTTTTTTTTTTAAATCCACAGCTTCGCTGGCAGAAAGTCGTCTGTCTTATTTTTCCCACAGTCGTTCGCGTAATAATAGTGTGGATTTAAGTCCCTTAGGAGACTACAGACGTGGTGAGAAGACACCTTCACATCAGCAATCAATTAAAAAAAAGATCATAATGATCGATCCTGATCTCTGAATTATCAGCGTTTTCATATTTTTTATTGAATATTTTTCAATATAAGTTTTATATAATTGAATGCTTTCTACTAGGGATGGGGGAACAGTTCTGGTTGGGTTCTGATACTAATTCCATGCGCAAGAAAGAAAAAAAAAACATTATATATCTTAATTTATGACTTTATATATAAATCTATATATCTTATGAAATATAAATTTCAAATAAAGTATGTGTCCTACTAAGAGCACAACCCTAACATGAAATATTAGGTCTAAACATTTACTTAAAGGCTAAAAAATATTTCGGAAGCACTTCCATTTTTCTCTGCTCCTTGTAGAACTGCCCGTCACAACCATCATTGCACCCGCTGGGGTCGTGGCGTTCCCAAGCCTGGCCTACACAGGCACCCTGGACACAACCCTGACCCCTCTAATGCCCCCAGAGAAGATCTCCATCACCAGTTTCCGCCCTGAGCTTCTGGAGGAGGTGAAGGACGTGCTGATCCCAGCTTCCATGCTCAAGGTTCACCACCACCAGATCATCGGGAAGGGTATGCTTATAAATCAAGTATGCTGAGTGCTGCAAATAAGTTCAATATATTTGCGTTAAAAAGTTTGGGGTCAATACGATGTTTTAATCAAAAATACAGTAAAAACAGAAATATTGTGAAATATTTTTTATCATTTTAAATAACTATTTTCTATTTTAATGCATTTTAGAATGTAATTTATTCATGTGATGCAAAGATGAATTTACAGCCTCATTACTTCAGTCTTCAATCATTCTAATATGCTGATTATGCTGAACGTTCAAAGGAACAGCATTTATTTGAAATAGAAATCTTTTTAAACGGTTTGAATATCTTTTACTTTAATTTAATGCATCTTTTCTGTTAATATCTTTTTAAAAAAATGACTGACCCTAAACTCCAGGGTTTAGAACTTGATATTGCTTCATTTCTCAAAAAATGCAATTACTGAAAAAGGGAATAAGGACATTTTTATTTTGAACTTGAAGATTAATAAACATGCTTTTTTTTCGCAGGACACTTCGGCACAGTTTACCATGGTTACCTCACTGACCACAACAACAGAGAAATCCATTGTGCTGTAAAATCTCTCAACAGTAAGAAACTCCTCAATGGCTCATAAAGATACTCCTGAAAATCTGAACTGCACTCTTGGGATGACCTACCTGATGAAAAACATTTATTTCTCACAATGAGCTGCCTTTAAATTAGCTAGCTGTTTGCAGTGTTCCTGTTGCTTAAACCAAGGTCATGGGTTCGAATCCCTGGGAATACGATAACTGAGTAAATGTCTACCGTACCTTGAACACAATGCAAGTTCCTAAGGATAAAAGTGTCTGCCAAATGCATAAATAATAGTTTATGAAAAAATTTTCATTCCAAAATATTCAAAACATTTGTTTTCAAACAACATCCTGCATCTAAGATCTTTTTCTTTCTTTTTTTAAACCGATAACTGAATGTAAATTGACTTAATAATATATAATATAAATGCTTGCATTTTCCTCTGTGGTAGGAATAACAGATGTGGAAGAAGTGGAGCAGTTTCTGAAAGAGGGCATTCTGATGAAGGGATTTCATCACAGTAATGTTCTCTCTCTTCTGGGTATCCTGCTTCCCGAAGAGGGACTTCCATTGGTGGTCTTACCTTACATGAAACACGGAGACTTGCGTCACTTCATTCGCTGTGAAAAGAGGGTCAGTTGCTAGAAAGTGAACTCAGACACATCAAATATGCATGAATTTTGCCTTACACCAAATAAACAGGTTTGTATTTGTGGATGGATTTCACAACATGACCTCCTGCACTGCTCATAACCTTAGAAGTTCCAGGAAGTGATGTTGCCTAAGATTACACAAACTCACTGTGTCCGTTTTTTTTTAGTCTTATATAGTCTTGTTGTCTTATCCTAGAATCCCACAGTTAAGGATTTGATTGGCTTTGGACTCCAGGTTGCTAAAGGAATGGAGTATCTGGCACAAAAGAAATTCGTTCACCGGGATCTAGCAGCACGCAATTGCATGTGAGTTTTGCACAAAGATTATGAATTAAGATCCTTATATATTTCAAGCGAAATCGAAGAAAAAACTGTGATGTGACGTCGTTTCGAAAACAAAATCAGGCCCAAACAAATTTTGAAACAGCTTGCCAATCAAATGTTCAATAAAAATGTTCAAACACCTTCAAACTACTATTGGTCCGTTCTGATTAAAGGGTCAGTTTACCCAAAAATGTAAATTATCGAATAATTTACTCACCCTCAAGACTTTCTTCTTTCAGCCAAACACAACTGGAGTTATATTAAAAAATATCGAAGCTCTTCCAAGCTTTATAATGGGAGTGAATGGTACAGTTTTTTAAGCCCAAAAAAGCAAATCCATTCATCATAAAAGTAATCCATACAGCTTCAGGGATTAATGAAAGGCTTTCTGGATTGAAGTGTTTTTGTAAGAAAAATATCCATAATTATAACTTTATAAACTGTAATCACTAGCTTCCGGTAACGTCCATCCATGCGTTCACGAGAGAGTCGAGTTATGGCGTATGACGTAGGACTTAGGCGTCAAGCGTAAACTTCATTGAGTAGACGCATCTCGCGGTTCAAACAAATGGGGCTGGGCAACAAATTCAAGCTCCTCCGACATTTCTCTTTAAAAATTGCTTCGCCTCAGAAGGCATTTATTAACCCCCTGAAGCTGTATGGGAGCTTGAAAGAGCCATGATATTTTTAATATAACTCGATAAACACGATTGTGTTTGGCTGAAAGAAGAAAGACATTTCCACATCGCTATGATCAGATGCTTTCTTAACTGCTGTTTTCTCACCGCTGGAAACCATGCAGCACATATTAATATATTAATCTAAACATCGCTGTCAACAGTGTAGTCGGCGTACTGTAATCATGATGTTTGCTAACGGCATAAAACTGCTCAGGTATTTCATACATCTTTTTACCCCTGAGCTAAGAACGAAAAAGAACTTACGCCCTTAGTATATTGGGGCCTTAAGGGCTACAAACTGATAAAAGGTCTTAACCAATGCTCTCTCAGGCTTGATGAATCCTACACCGTAAAGGTAGCAGACTTTGGAATGGCTCGAGATGTGCTTGAGAAGGAGTACTACAGCGTCCAGGATCACAGGAAAGCCAAATTACCCGTTAAATGGATGGCCATTGAGAGCCTGCAGACGCAGAAGTTCACGACCAAGTCAGATGTGGTGAGATATGAAAATGAAATATGCTTACTGGATTACAGTAAGTATGTCTCAACTTTTTATTCTGTCTTTGACTGCAGTGGTCTTTTGGGGTCCTGATGTGGGAGATGCTCACACGAGGAGCCAGCCCGTACCCTGAAGTTGACCCGTATGATATCACACATTACCTCTTAAAGGGACGACGGCTGCCTCAGCCACAGTATTGTCCAGGTCCCCTGTAAGTTTCTCTATTTTTCTACAGGATTCATTTATACACCAACGTGCTTTTTATTAGTTGATCGATAATGTTGGTGTATTGCAGAAAGTTTGGCTTACACAGGCTGCAGTTGTTTTCCATTCTTCCACTTGTTTTTAGACATTGCTCCACAAGAGTGACATGGCCTTTTGGAATTGCAGTGGTTTTAAGCAGCTGTCAGTCCGTTTAGTGTTTTTCCACCATTTGAGGTTCAGAGGGTTTAGAGCTTACTCAGTATTCAGAGCGGTGGAAAAGGTCAATCGAAAGGTTATTGTGAATGTCTCTTCAATTATCCATCACCTCAAGCACTACACTCAGAGAGTTAATCATCATTCACTTTCCGACAGAGGGAAATATTTCAAAACCAACATGTTCCCCAAGTGACACTGCAAAATTTCCAGCAATCCCTAACCCAACTTTCAGCTTTTAGCCACAGTTGAACTGTTAAAAATATGTCTGGGGATATTCTAAAAGAGTTTTTAGTTTTAGATATTTAAAGCAAACCAAACGTATTATCTTTGTTTTTCTTGGATATAGTTACAAAAGCCCCATATACACACACAACAGTTAGTTCTGGTTCTCTAATCTGATTGACGAATTTACTAGGGTTGGGTAATAAATATCGATTTCTCGATATTAATCGATTCTCATTTTTACGAACCGATATCGATTCTTAAATCTCAAGAATCGGTTAGTCATCCTGTTTCATTTGAATGAATGAAACTTTGTATCGCGGCTGCGCGCATCCAAAAAATCGCAATAATCTCTGTCCTTTGTTACTATTGATATGAAACAAAGTCTCAATTTTCAAATTACGTCCATTTTTTTTTAGAAATTCAAAAACATAAATAACGTTTTGGCACTGTGGCGTGAGATTGCTCTAGCGCAGCTCAAGAGAAGCAGCAGCGCTGATCTCTCTTCCAGGTTAATAATACCAGTCACAGCGCGAAATAAACATGAATGAGCATCTGAAAGTGTGTTAAAGATAGAGTACAACTTATCGAAATCCATAGCATGTCACATTAATTCGCTCAATCAGCGTTTCAACCGTGGAAATACGTCAATTAAACAGCTTGTAATCAATGTCATGTATCGTCATATTTACCTCAGAAAACCCACATAAACTCATCAGTCAGCTTGAAAAATAACTGTAGAGAGGAGCATTTTGCTAAATATATACACCATATTACATATGCATTGAATAAATCTGGCAGCCACCATTTAAATGTTTATATTTCATATAATCTTCTTATTATAAAAGTGTAATTTAAGTGATTGTATAGCTACAAAACAGTTCATTATTACCTTCATATTAAGCTAATGAAGCCTAGTAGGCTACAACTAGACTCTCATAGTTTACAGCATTAGTTAATAGATTTGATTTCCTTGAGAAAATTTGCCATTTATTGTAACTGATATCCAAGATAATCAATATTGAATCGAATCGAAATCGAATCAAATTGCAAGCTTGTGAATCGAAATCGAATTATGAAATTTGTGTCAAAACCAAGCCCTAGAATTTACAGTCATAAATTATATTGACCTACACTTTAAAGGCCAGAGTTGGAAACTCTGGAACACTGTCATAATTTAAGGAATGGTTAGTGACTCAGAGTGTTGTAACAGGATGTGGAAACATGGCGGGTGGTGGAGTTCAGACATGGAAACAGCGAATGTGTTTGACACTTATTTTGTCAGATGCCTGATTTGCAAATATAGTATGACAAAGCCAGTCACTTTTCAAGTGAGGTGAACCAGTTGAGTTTTGACTGACCCTCATCTCCATCTGCAGGTTTGCCATTATGCTACAGTGTTGGGACCCCGACCCTGAGAAGAGACCAACCTTCTCCACACTAGTGTCCGCTGTAATGAGTATCCTGTCCAGCCTGGAGGGGGAACACTACATCAGCCTGAAGGTCACATACGTCAATCTGGACCAGCCCCGGCCCTACCCCGCTCTAACAGACTCTGCCGATGAATATGATTCGTCAGATGCAGATGATGCAGGCTCAGTCTCTAGCTGATTGGCTAACTGGTTTGATACTCACTAAAAAGGGAGTCTTTTTGCTGACAAGGCAGTAGGTGTGTTTGACTTGAAGTGGTGCTGCGCAGACTGATCGGTGTATGACATCAAAGTACCGCAAAAGCATATAAACACACTAAACCTAATGACTGTGCTTTAAAGAGGGAGGCATACGCAAAAAAAAGTTGCAGTTGAATTAGTAGTGTGTTGAAACGTGCGGATATGCTAAGGGTTGTGACATTTACGAAACGTGCCCGAAGCAGTTGACCAATCACACTGGTCCAGCCGACCAATCAGCCACATTGTTCTTTTCGTAAGGAGGGAGGAACTAAACAGAGCATTACTGACATACTGCCCCTATTAGGCTTTTATAATTCAATATTTTATAATGTAGCCTATGCATGGAAGAGTTGGATGACCTCATACAAAGTTCTGTAATGAACCTCTAGACCAGCCCAACCCTGCTCCTGCTGATCAACTGTCCTGCGCAGTTCATCTCCAACCCAAATCAAACACACCTGCCTTTCATTTTCAAGCAATCCCGAAGACCTTAATTGGTTGCTTCAGGTGTGTTTGATTAGAATTGGAGATAAACTGTGGACAGGACAGTCGATCGGCAGGAGCAGGGTTGGGCACACTTGCTCCAGATGGTGCAGACTTTCAATCATATCCTTCTCTTTAGGGCACATCTGATTGGTTCCTGCTGTATCTGTAGCCAATGAGCTTACTTGCCTTCAAATACCTTCAAATACTTGGTTAGCGATTGCCTTAGCAGCGCAGCACACTTTCAGAAACCCTCCATCTTCCCCAGCTCCACCTGTCTAGATCTGCTACGGGTAAGTCATGTACAGCAGCAGTATGTCTTACATACATGTATGTATTGTCCAATTGTATATAGCGGTGTAGCAGATCTATTCCACCAAGACCACATATCAACATCGTCATAGCCATTACAAAATGTTATCAAACTAAGTTACATTTATGTGTAGTTCATATCATATGACGTTATTTTTGCATATAACAAAGCAAAACGCTCGCCATAGAGCCAAAATACTGTATGTATGTTAGTATACTTCTGGCCTTGTACTGTATGTGCAGTATTGTTAATGAAGCTTTTGAAATCAAGTCAGCAATGACCGTAACAGCACTTAACACATTTGTTTCACACTCAAGCACTGTCCTCACTAGAATTCATTTCAGTTGTAGAGGATGTTTATTTTATTTATGAGACAACTACATTTTATGTGAATAATTTTCAGTATTTTCCTATGTACATATAGGTCTATATCTGCACCACTTCATTTTAAAGATAGGCTGTAATCAGTGGGCCTTAACTTGATGTTTGGTTTGTGATTATATCAGATGCTTGTACAGAAAAGGGATTGAGTGCACAATGTTTGGGATGAGTCAGCACTGAAAGGTGTTGAACTGAATATATCACCGTGCTGCAGTTATAGAGCCTGTAGAAACGAGTGAGAATTTGACATCTATGACGCACATCTCTAAATAAAATCCAATTTTGCCAAAGGTGCCAGGGATTAGTGTATACTTGAGTTATCTTGGGTAATACTTTTGTTTGAATGTTTTTTCAAAGAACGTACTTTGATTAAATAGTTATTGGCATATTTAAACCAAAAATGCTTTTATACATTGTATATTAAAAAGGATTTTGTTCTGATGTAATGACAAGGGGTCTATACATTGTACAATTTTTTGTCTGGCCAGGATGTTTTTTGGAAGACCCTGATATAATGTGCATCTTTGAATATTAAAGTGGGGTACAAAAAATATATTAAAATCATAAAAGGGAACCCACTGTACCTTTGAGCTTGTGCTAGAATTGAACACTAGGGGTCAGTAAAAGCCTTTTCGTGATGGAGCAAATATTAAATGGGATGCGCTTTTCTCAGTTTGCAGCAAAATGAACAAAACAAAAAACGAATTATGATTCCCTCATATAATTATGCAGTTTACAGTCCACTAATCATTTTTAAAGCAATGTGAATTATTTTTTTTTTTTTGAGAGAGAGAGAGAAGAATGTGAGTCATTCAATATCACTGTATGGTAGTTTTATATGATTCCTACACTGTCTGTTTGTTATACATATCCTTTATTCACTTTTAATGCACCGACTATAAAACCTGCAATACTGAATTGACTGTACAATTGCAAAACTTGTTGGCCGACAGTGTCAGACAGAAGCATGCAGAGAATTAAAAGAGAGATCCAAGTCGACAAAAAGCCACAAAGAACTCAAGGTTCAGAGGTAGTAAGTCTCATTCCAACAACAGAAGCCAATACAAATAAAACAGAGAAGGAAACAAACATCATAACGTTGTTTTTCCCTCCCATGTCCCTCGCTCACTTCCTCTGTTACAAGATAAAAGAACCAAAGTAAATTCCCAGAAGATGCAGCCTTTGATTGTGAGCTCATATCTGCTCAGTGTCAAAAGTGTGTGTGTGTGTGTGTGTGTGTGTGAGGGAGAAAGAAAATTCCTACTGGGTGAGATGAATAGTGAGCTGTAGACACAGGCTGCTCTCGCCGCATAGTCGCAACCTGCAGCCTTGAACCCTTTCATCATGTTCTAACAGCTCGGATTTAGATCCACACACACACACTCACTCACTGACACATACTTAACACACACTCTCTCACATAGACACACATACACGTTGTGTTTTCATGCTTTATGAGGACATTCCATTGACATAATGATTTTTATAGTGTACAGACTGCATATCTTCTAACCCTAAATTTACCCACCACAGACAAACATGCATTTTTATATTCGCAAAATACAAAAAAAAAAAAAACATATGGGTTATAAGCTGTTTTGTATTTGAGGACTCGAAATGTTCCCGCAGGGACAAGGATTTTGGATATTGCCACCTTTGTTGGGACATTTTGTCCACATAATGTAGGGTGTTCCTGAAACACAAACACATATGGTTTTCGTGTTTATGGGGATTTTCCATAGACATAATTTTTATAGCACAAACTGTAAATTATATCCCCTAACCCTAAACCCACCCATCACAGACAGAAATTTCTGCATTTTTATATGTTTTAAAACAATTTACGATTTATGAGCTGTTTTCCCCCTGGGGACCAAAAAATGTCCTTACAAGGAAAAAAATAACTGTATTACCCCCATAAAGTAGGGAATACCAGGACACCACACACTCGCGCACACAATCTGTTGAGGTATACAGTAGAAATCACATGCTTCAGCTGTTCCACCTCCCAGTGAACTATCTTGCTGCATATAGACAGTTATCAGATAAGATAGAATTTTGCTTCCTATTTTTTGAACAAAAGATTTTTAAAATTGCCTGCGAAAGCTATTCTGATGATCGCTACAGTAATAATATGCAAAAATAAATAGCTGTACATGCTATTAAATATATTTTAAAAGATTACAGAATTTTGCTTTAGTAAATTCCCAGTTAATATATGTTTAAAGAGCCTCTAACATCCCCATTAAGTTATGAAAGTTCAAAAGGTCCGTTTTTAAAACATTTATTTTGTCACGTGAACATTCCGTTTCATCATCGCGCAAACATTGTGGGAACGTTACTTTAGAATGTTCTCTGAAACAAGAAGTTGGCTACCGTTTAAAATGTTAGACAAACGTCCAACAAAAATGTTTTTAAAACACGAGTTATGTTTTTATTTTAATGTTTGGAGAACATTCGCATTCTCATCCTAACTGTCACTTTTGACCATGCGTCTAAATCCGACACACATGGCAACCTTTAGCGTCAGTTTGATGACGCGGGGAGGTTTAGGTCTGGGTTAGGGTTAGACCACTAGGAGGCGCGTCTCATATTGACGCTAATGTGCATCGGATGTTGACGCATGGTCAAAACGCCTTGGGATGAGAACGGGCTGAACATTAGGCTATTAAAGACCAGATAACTGAACAAGCAATCTATTAAAACAATCTATTTCTGGAATGTTCATAACTTTGAAAACCTTGGCAGAATGTTAGCCAAAGCCCCCTGCTGGTTATATCTTGTTTTAAGGATATTTTTACTGAAAATTTTAACTGAAGTAATTTTTTGCAGTGTTGAGCTCCATAAAATGCTTTCTAGGAAGGCAGCTCACAAATCTGGTCAGGTGACGTGAAAGATTTATGCTGCTGGTATTAGAAAGAGAGATCAATAAGGGTGTTGAGTTAAAAAAAAAAAAAAAAAGGTTTTGGTGGTTGTGTCCAAGACAGAGACAGCTCTAGAGCAAACTCTGAAAGACAGAGAGGTAGGGGGAGAGAATCAAAGACGTTCCGGCATGTGTGAGAGTTTGAAAACACATCCAGGTTCGGGTTATTATCCGTAGGGATCTGTTCCAGCAGTGTTGCTCTGAATCACTCATTACTGAGCACCAAAACAAAAGTTCTATATGGTGCTGGGAGAAGTAAAGCCTGAATAAACCCAGACTCACTCTGCTGGAGCTTCTGTCAGCGCCTCAATGAAAAAAAAAAAAAAAATCCTCTAGCATCCTGCATGTCAATTGAAGCTTTTCAGAATTTAGTTTATTTTTCGTATATAGGAGATTGGAGGGAAATATATGTATCAGGACGTCTGATATATTTAACACAATGTAACTAAAAAGGAACTTAAATTGAATTAACTAGAATATCATCTAAAATTGATATTTGTGATGGCGTCCTCAAATTAGTCGTTGTGATGATTCTGAAACAGACTGGTAGCAGTTATTGTATTTGCAATGCATGAAGAAACAAACGAAACGATGTGATTGTTAAAGGGATAGTTCACTTTGAAATTAATTTTTGGTATGTTTTAGCTTACCTCAAGGGCATCCAAGATGTAGGTGTCTTTGTTTCCGCAGTATTTTAAATTTTGATATTTTTAGGTCAAACCGTTTGTGTATCAGTCTACTAATGCAGGTCTATGGTCACCACCTCAAAGAGCATGCACAGAGAAGTCCAAATTAAACATGATTTAATGACTCGTAAATGTAAGTACACATTGATGGTCACGAAACGAGTGGTTTGTGTGAGAAAACGAACAATGTTTAAATCGTTTTTACCTCTTGAAACCACAGCAAAGTGATCTGAGGGCGTGGGCGCTTTGTGGATGTGGTTACAAGAAGTAAAAATGATATAAATACTGTTCATTTTCTCACACAAACCGCTCGTTTCGTGTCTTAGGCCATCAATGTGTACTTACATTTACGAGTCATTAAATCATGTTTAATTTGGACTTCTCTGTGCATGCTCTTTGAGGTGGTGACCATAGACCTCCATTATATGACTCTTTCACCAAAAATATCAAAATTGAAAATACTGAGGAAACAAAGACGCATACATCTTGGATGCCCTTGAGGTAAGCTAAAACACATCAAAAAATTATTTCAAAGTGAACTACCCCTTTAAGCCCTGTTTTGTGAGGTTGATTGGCATCACCTCCCAAAGCACGTCTACAGAGAATCTCATGTGCATAGACATGAATTTGAATTGCAGAAATAAACTTGTTATTCTTAAGCCTGAAATAGAGAAGACAATTGGCAAGCATTCTGTACATTACATACATTTGGTAGACAACCACCAACCAGCAGTATGACTAATGAAGCTTGTCATGACCACTGAATATTACATGGAACACAATCTAATCTGCAAAATCAATCTCAATGAATATTTAGTTGCAAGTGGTGAAGTTATTTATTCATATGGGTACTAGAGGCATTAAAAAAACCCTAAAATATCTTTGGAGCATTATGTACTGTAGATCAGGCACTTGCTTCCATGAGTTTAAATATGGTTTAAGCTTTAAGCTTTTGGCTGGCTCTCATTGCTAGAAGAAATAAGACATTAGAACTCATTACCGTCTCAGATTTATCAGTATCTAAAGGGGCATTAGCACCTCTCTTAGCGTGTGATGAAGAACGGGAGTGACAGGAAATCATTGTCTTGGCCAGTCTGCTCAATCTCAGAGTCAGTGGATGGAGTCTCTCGAGGTTACCGAGCAGGGTTGAGGTGCAATAGGAGACTTCATTTCAATGTGTGTTTGTGTGGGTGTTGAGAACATAGAAATGTGAAATATCACACGTATAGTAGTTGTTGTCGCTGTCATCGGTGCTGTTTAGTTCTGTTCAGACCAGACCTGTTAGGATCATTTGGCTTCAGCAAATATGAAAAGGAAAGAATTGTTTTGTGATGAAGTCTTTGAATTACACCCACTGTTTTCCACTCATACAATCATACAGTTCAGTTTGTTATTTTTGTCCTTCCTGAAGAACAGTGAGAGTAGTTATTGGAAACTAAAGTTATTTTAGTACTTGAAATAAAGCTGAAATAAAATAGGGATGCACGACATATCATGCACAGGACAAGTCTGTTATAAAGTCTACATACAATTATAACAAGAACTGTATGCTTGGGAAATGGACTGGATTTAGATTTATCAACCAATATATCGGTCATCGGCTTTCAAAAACAAACAATTATTGGTTATCGGTATCGGCCAAACATTTTTAATATTGTGTTAAATAGCATCCCATATAAATATTTGATGAAAAACTTAAAGGTGCCATCTGTAAAAATTGAGGTTAAAATATCCCAAAAATGAGCAACACGCATCAAAAGATTGAGAAGAAATAAGGTTGATGATGTCATTAAAAAACTGACAAGTTATAGTGCTGCCGAGATATTAACCTGAATTAGCATGCTAAATTACTAGCCCCGGCCCGGCAGGTGTCGTAATACCAGTTTCGACCATGGGAGGCGGTATGCGGGCGGGCAACGTTACCACCAGCCAAACTGCAGTACACGAGTAAGTCGCGCTCGCGCCAGCTTGTGTGTACTTGAACCTGACGTCAGTCGTGTGGAAAATACAGCCCACTACTACATTTCAGTTCAGGGAAGAGTTAAAAAAAAATGATTGGTCGATATTATGCATGAGGAATACATTTCGGTAAGTTGTAGCATACTGTATCTTTCAACAGTGTTCGTGTTCTTTTACCATTAGCTAGTAGAGATGATCGGTTCACGTGCGCTAGGGATCTGTCGTGTAAAGCGCCAATACTGTATTTATTGTTTGAATTGCGTAATAAAATTAACAGAATCTGAGAGCTGACATCGGTCTCCGTGTCCTTTTCTGTGCATGACAAAATTGATGTGTGGCGTGAGAGTGTGTGAAAAGTGTTGTGAGAGTTGGCAGCTCTGAAAGACGCTAGCTTGGTCCACATCAGGTAATGCTGTCTGTC